TACATAGAACATATTGTCTTCTGTGAATAGAAAGTTTGATTACTTCCTTTCCAATCTGTATACCTTTTTTTATTCTTTCCTTATTTCACTAACACTTCCAGTACAATATTGAAGAGGAGTGTTGAAAGCAGACAACCTTGCCATATTTCTGATCTTTGGGGAAAGCATTCAGTCTTTCACCATTATATGTGATTAAGTAGAGTCCCTCTACCAGGTTAAGTAAGTTCCCTTCTATTCCTAGTTTGCTAAAACTTCTAACCATGAATAGACGTTGAATTTCATCAAATGTTTTTTCTGCATCTATTGAGGTGATATGTTTTTCTTTTCTTAGGCTTTTAAAATGGTAAATTATATTTATTGATGTTTGAATGTTGAATCAGCCTTGTATATCTGGATAACCCCACTTGGTAATGATATGTTCTTATAAGACTTTTTAACTACAAATTCAACTTCCACAATAGTTTTAAAGCTATTCAAGTTGCATATTTCTTTGTGAATCAGCCTTTATTGTTTTTCTCTTTCAAGTAATTTGTCAATTACAAAGCTGTGGAATTTATTCACTTAAATTTGTTTGTAGTATCTCATTATCATGTTAATATCTGTAGAATATGTATTGATGACACCTTTTGCATTCCTGATATTGATATTGTGTCTTTACTCTTTTTCCCTGATTAGTTTGACTAAAGCTAATCAATTTTATTGATCATCTCAAAAAACCAATCTTCAACTAATTGATTTTCTATATTGTTTCCCTGTTTTTTATTTTATTTATTTCTGCTCCAATATTTGTTTTCTTCTGTTTACATAGGGTTTGATTTGCTCTTCTTTTTCTAGTTTCTTGAGGTGGAAACTGAGTTCATTGATTTGAGATCTTACTTGTTTTCTGACAAACACATTTAATGCTATAAATTTCTCTCTTAGTATCTCACAAACTTGTGTAGGGCTGTTTTCATTTTCCTTCCATTCAAAATACTTTCTAATTTCCTTTCAGATTTGTCCTTTACCCATTGGACTATTAAGTAGTACATTATTTAGTTTCCAAATAGTTGAGGATTTTCTAGAAATCTTTCTGTTATTGATTTCTAATGTATTTCAGTTGTCATCAGAGAACAAGACTTTGTATTATTTGAGACATTTGAGAAGAGAGAGAGAGAGAAAGAGAGAGAGAGAGAGAGAGAGAGAGAGAGAGAGAGAGAGAGAGAGAGA